CCCATAGTTACGCCGTAGTCGGGTCTCAGCTCTGCAGCAGCAATAAAATAATATTAGGTAGGTAATATCATATTATGAAAGTGGGCTGCTGACGCCGCGACGGGCTTGTTGCGAAAACCAGTTTGTGTCGGATTCGCGCAAATATCCGTTGTGATCTTGGCACTGTACGTCCACCCGTCCACCCATCATCTAACCGGCCAGCCATAGAAACGTACTCGGCGACATAGAAAACAGATTAAAGACAGTACCGCCCAAAACGGTCGTCGACGACGTCAGTCGTAACACAAAACAATAATCTATTCGATCGTAGTCGACGTGTACCTTTAATCGAAAAACGAATGTTCCAACGACGGAGCATCGATGTAAAATATATTATAATATCGCGTGAATCGTCACCCGCGCAGTGTATAAACCAATCGCAGGTTATAATATTATAATACGACAACTACAACACTGTCTGCTATCGTAGTATCGTTGCCGAGTGTGTTAAAAAACATATTTTTTATTTTCTTTCCGGTTTCGAAACGTGGTGGTCGCGCCACACACCGGATACGGTTGGTCACACCGCATTTTACGTTGTGATTCGCGTGCGTGTGCGTACGACGTAAATATTTGTTGTGTTTACATGTTATTACTTATTATTTTTCGTGTCGAAACCGAATAATTGCTATGGACCGTTCGCCGTGTACGGTAATTCGCCGTCCGTGAATATCGTTTAATTGTTATTTATTTAATCTTATAGGTGTAGTACACATGTAGAATTATTTTTTTTATTTTGAAATTTCGTTATTGTTTTTATGATTATTACTGAACTTAACTTTGCCACTGTTGTTGACCGTTGCCGACAGTCACCAAGAGGAGGACGTCCGTCAACGTCGCCGTCATCACCGTTGCCGCCTTCGCCGTTCACCGTTCGCCGTGTCCGTCGTCGTTGTCGCTCGTGTCCGTTGATCTACTTAATTTTCGCCGTTTCCGGGTAACGCAGTGTGCACAATAATCTTCACAAATGGGGGACCGGGTGTACGCGGCCGAAAAGCTCATGAAGAAGCGTGTCAGAAAGGTGAGTCTTACCTCGACCTCCTCCTACGGGGGAGATTCGTCTCGTCCTCGCTGCCTACATTGCATTATCTTTTGATAACGACTTGCGCGCCTTTTTTTTCCTGGTTTACATCTTTTAATACTTCTGTGCTAGACAAGGTCGATCGCCCTGGCCATGATCCTCCAATCACTCGTTTCTAATAAACTTTTGGTAACCCCATTTGTGTCATCAAGTCGTGTTAGTACACTCAGTACCGTTGTTAACCAGTTCTTGGTATACCTATTAATTTTTACATGGCTCGGCCGTCGTCTGTTGACGACCTGTCTAGGAATGCGTTGATGTAAATGTTAACTGGGTCGATTCTAAAATTGCTGCTAGTTTTCGTGCCTATAGACTTAAATGGTACTTCCGTAATGTTTTTATTTTAGTAGGTAGTTGTGTAATTGTGTTAAATACACCAACATTTATTTCTTTCATCTTGACATTACATATATTTTATATATAGATAAAGCAGGAATAACATAGATAGTAGATACCTAGCTAATCTTATTAATTTAGAAAGTAAATTCTGATAAAATGGGCAGTGAATATTTATCCAATTTTGAATTTAATATTTTTAACTAAAATTCTGAAAATCTTAAAAATCATTTAGCTATATACCTATTTTAAGTATTTATCTTCCAAAATTATGACCCAACATCTAGCAGTCTAAATTACATTACCTATATTTAAACCAAATACTTTATTGATTTTCAATCAGTTATGGTAGTTTGATTCTCAGTTTGAAATTCTCAGTCATGCAGCCAGGTAGGGTGGGCATGTCTTAATTATTCTAAACTGCTGCAAAGCTTGTTAAATGTTAACACTATCTTATGTCAATTTCTAAAGAACCCTAATTAGTTAATTGTGCCTCTACTGATAGACTATAAGTATTTACATTTCTATGCCCTACATAATTTTTGTGTGGGAACATAAGAATATAAAATTTCAAATAAATGGAGGGAAAATGCCAGTAAGAATCTACTCGCTATTTTAAATTCTAATTATTATTGTCTTCTTAAAATTTATCTGTTATAAATCTTTGAAATATATCATATCGACTTATTACCTAGATATTTAGTATATACTATGATTTTTATCATGAGCTTAATATGTATAGTTAATACTTATTTTAAAAATGGTTCATTGTTTTTGATAAGATAACATGTGTTTATAATTGTTTATCTTTATTATAATTTTTTTTATTTATATAATCTAGACAGAATTTCTTAACCCATGGGAGGAGGGGTAAAGTACCCAAACACCTTGGAAGTCTCCTGGAAAAAAATTTAAATTTGTTTTCTTATTAAAATAGCTCATTATTCGTGAAATAATAAACATYGTGAATGGTTTTTTTTATGACAAAAGTGTATGATAATATATTCTCAAATATATCATTATATGTACACTAGAAATTATGGAAAGTTGACATTTGTAGATCCATAAAGTAGTGGTTAGAACTGAGAGGTCAAGAAGGAATATGTAAACAAAAATAGTTTGTTCTATATTGTTAACTATACATCCTGAGTAAGAACATTTTTTTAAATTATTGATAAAATAATTTATATATAGTTGACAGTTGCCGTACATTTGTATGTTCGCTAAAAATAAATTGTAATTGTAAGCTTTAAATATTACTTTAATATTTACTATCAAATTTGTATATTTGAGATTAAAACAAATTAAATGTATTATAAGTGCCTACCTAATTGAAACTGTGTCATTATTATTATTATTTATGCCATGTGTATTAATAATTCTATATATTTTTAGGGCAGAGTGGAATATCATGTAAAATGGAAAGGATGGGGACCTAAGTATGTTTAATTATTATAAAATTATTTAATTTTAATAGGTACTAACATCCATTTTAAATATATTTAGACACAATACTTGGGAACCTGAAGAAAACATTATTGACACCAGGCTTATTGATATTTTTGAGCAAAGGTATTTATTTATTTATTTTAATATTTATGTATGAGCTTAATTATATGAAAATACTTTAGATACATTAGCTTTAGTAGCTTTAGTTATCCTTGTGACTTGCATTAAGCTTTTCATCTACCTATTACCTATTTAATATATAACATATATATTATATTTTTTTAGTCAAATCCGTACAGATAATAATTCTCATAAACGAGGTCCTAAAAGAAAAACACAAAGTGTAAGTTATCTAGTTATTAAGTAATCTAAATTAGGATTTTTGTTTTAATGTATATACTTGGCAAATTCCAGGCACACATTGAAACACCAACTACTGAACCTACCCGAAGTGACTATGAAGATGAAATTGCCGATGGTGATGTACCAGATTATAACAGCCAGGATGAAGCTGAAGTGCTTCCCGAGTCTACTAATGGTGCACCTTTGTTACCCAGACATGACGATGAGACAGAAGAAGATAAAACAAGTAATTTTTTAATTTCCTTTTATCATGCTTATAAAAATATGTATGTGTTATTGGAAATATTGAAATTTAGGAAACGATAACAGTTTCAAAGAAATTATGAAAATTCTTTAAAACGGAAGGAAATAATATTACCTAGTTTATGTTATAATTTCCTAATGATATCAAGCAAAGATGCCATACACATTGCCATAACATTTTTTAGATATTTTAACTTAAACTGTCTACCAATTTAAATATTACTTTTATCAAACATAATTATTAATTAACCTACTATTACCCTTATAAATTAACAATCATCTTGTTTTTTAGCATTTTTTTCATTTTGATTTACATTATTAAGTATTTTTAAATTTTCAAGTCTTTCATTTTTGTATTCACATTTCAAACTTCTTTGACATTTAGAATGGCAAATATGATGGAGATGCGATAGCTGTTTAACCATTTTATCGAAATTAGTAATTTTCCTACCCAATATTTTAAGAATGTGGATATTAATAATCATCACCAAACTTGATGGGTAACTATTATGGTTTTCAACATGTTGCCATTACTAGTTAGTTAGTTATATTTCTAATAGTAACAAGTTGGTCCCTTATGTCCTGCAATATTAAATTGCCAATGCTCTTTTGTAAGACAGCGTTGCGTGATAAACTATGAAAATTATGACAATTCCTAAGCAATAACATCATTTTTTCTGCTATAAAGAATTGTCAAAATGTCCAGTAACATAAATATTAATAGAATTGATAACACTGATTCAGAGTGTAGTTCGTAATTAATGAATTGTTATAAAAAGGTACAAAACTTAAAATATTTTTTCCTGAAATCTATTTTGTCTTTTGTTTACTGTATGGGAAACTATTAAAAATGTTTCGGATATTCTCAAATAAAATACCAAAACTTTAACTAAATAAGATAATAATATATAATAAAATTGTAAATTGTTAATTGTTTGTTCAAAAATAGATTTTCTATTATTATTTTTTTTTACAGTTGATGATGATTCATTGGCAGAAATGCCTAAGTTAAATGCTGCTGTAAAGGTTGAATTGAAAGATGAAAAAATAAGTGAAGAAAAAAAGATACCAGTCATAGAAGTCAATGATACACGAGAAGAAGAAAAGTTAAGTCCAGTGGTGAAACCGGCACCTTCACTTTCAGTTCCATCTTCACAGAAGCAGTCTTCCAAATCACCTCCACCTTTACTTAAACCTCATAAAGTTAAACGGAAAGCTGAGGTTTTGTCTAAAGAATCTGGTAAAGTTGGTGTTACTATAACTACCAGTCCTCCTGTGACMGACTCTAAAGTGCCCAAATTACAATCACCTTCCAATATTCAAAACATCAATAGCTTGCCACCAGTAGTACCTATTCAAGATGGTGGAAGAACCCCTAAAAGAAAAACATCAGAACATGCGGTTCCTGCAGTTTTGTCAAATCAAATTTCTCCAGCTCCAGAAAATCAACATATAACACTGACGGCTATACTTCAAAGTACTCCAGCTAGTGTAAAGTCAAGAGACACTTTAGCTGCTGCAGCGCCCATCAGTTCCCGAACATCCGGTGAACCAGCTAGGCCACAGGAAGATGCTGCAACTGCTGTAACTCAAGGGGCTGGAGGTCAACATCAGGTGCTGGATACAGCATCTGTTGCTGAAACTCCTACCCAGCGTTTACAGTACAAAACGATACTGGCAAACCCTGGACCAGAATATTGGCTTGCGCGCAATCCTGTTGTAGATAATGTTTTTATTACTGATGTGACAGTTAATTTAAACACTGTAACAATAAGGGAATGTAAAACAGAAAAAGGATTCTTTAAGTCTAGTGTTGAAACAAGAATTTAATGAATTTATGTTGAGATTTTATTTAAATAATAATCCTATGGTGTTAGATATAATATGGTAGGAGCAATATTTTTCTTTATGGTTAGTAAATAGATAGTTATAACAGTTATTAGTAAAATATAAATATATTTTTAAAACTATCAATATATATAAATATATATATATACACATACATACAGGGTGATCGATGAAGCTGTGTTTCAAGCACTGATAATGTATACATTTTGAAACAATGAGCAGTTATTTGTTTGGATGGTTTTTAAGCTGTGTTATAATTTCATAATATGATTTATCTATAATTTTGTAATTTAAGTGACATTCAAATTTTTTGTATTTTGCTCACTCAATGGTCCAACATGAAGTTTATTACAAATGTTTTGTCATTAAGCATTTTTATACTTCTGAAATTAAATATTTTTTGTCATTAATTATTATTGACAGAATKTATAGGTCTTCCATTTGGACAACAGAATCTATTTCAGTGATTTATACAAGCCTATACATCACCCTGTATAGTAAATATAGAAAATTCTTCAAATTAGTTTTTGTGAGCTGCAAAGCTAAACAGATTTAAATTTCAAGTTTTTTCCCTAATAGTTTTAATGTCTTTCAATCAGATCTTGATTACAATATTTTTAACATGATAATGTGAAAGTTTATTTTTTATTTAAATGAGCAATTAAGGTCCGATTTATGTGCTTAAAAATAAGTACAAAAAAATACCTAAAATTCTTCCCTAATGTATTGTAAGAGTCAATTTGAAATATAACAGTATTTATAGATTATCTAATAATAATTAATAGTATATCGTATCACTTGATTTTATAATAATGGGTGACAAGATATTTTAATATTGCGCATGTCGTATGTCATATTTTTTAAGTTTTAATTTTATTATTGTGTATTAACTCAACATATTATTATGTGTAATTGATTTCCTCCATTAGTGAGTTTACAGAAACAACTTAATCGTACCCAAATGATCTCTAGTTTATCATACATTTTTTTTTATATACAAACTATAATATACATGCTTATAGCAAAWTTAATAAATTATTTATTCCAAGCTTAATTTAAAGTGTATACAGTTATAAAAATTGTTGAAAATCCAAGTTAAATAAATATTATAGTCTAAATTGTTCTTCTAAAATGGTATAGGGGAATCAAATTAATTTCCAATAACTCGAAATCTAATAATAAAAACTAGGAACAAATAAAACTTATAAATCAATAAAAAAAAAAAAAAAAAAATTAAAAAATTAAAAAATCTATAAAAACGAATTTCTTGTATATTATATTTTCTTCTAGTTTAATACTATTTATGATTATTTTTAAGTGTTATTTGTTGTTTAAACTATGTTTCTCTTCATTACTTTTCCTCTTTACACTTATTAATTTATTATTTTACCTAACATTTTTTTAACATTATTATTTGTATTATTATCATAAAGAATAATTATGATGCACATTAATTTCACTATAATTTTTAGCACCCGATATTCAAACATTTTTTATTTTGTTTAAGGATTGTGCCGTACTATTACCACAGATTTTATAGAACTTTATTTAATCTGTGCTTTTATTTTGTTAATTTTTTTTTATTGTTTCATGGGAGAAACGGTACACTTTCTTAACAAATTAATAGTAAACAAGTTCTAACATACAAAGTTAATTTATAATTATTGTGTTTATTTGATTATTTTAGTTAAGTTTTAAATAACAATTTATGTAACTATCACTGGTTAATTTACGTAGGTATTATTAAAAATTAAATATAATATGCTTCGTTTCGTTTAAGTTTTCACATGGAAGAAAATGTTGTGTCCAATATAATATTACACAATATTGTATCCAACTTAATGATCTTATGTAAGACACACAGTGGTTTATTTTAAACCTTAATTTTTATTTATTCAATTTCTTAAGTATTGTCGACTGTATACGAAATTCCCAAAAAAAACCAAAACAAATGCGTTATAATGCTGTTCTCTATTTTTTACTCATCTCTCTAGTCATTGCCGGTCTTTTCTGAATGAAATGAATGTATTGTTTTTTTTTCTATGAAAATGTAACTTTTTATTGTTATTAATTATTGTGAATTTTGATGCAAAAGTATTAATTACAGGACACAATATTATAAGTGGCATATTTTTGTGTTGCAATATTTACATTGTAGGAGTTTTACTATAGTTATATATTGTGCCTTTGTAATAAATGTCAATGTTTAAATAATTGTTGTTTTTATTTTTATCAACTTTAGTCATTTTGAATTTTAGTGTTGTTATTTTTTTGGATTTAAGTGGGGCTGTTTTCATTTATTTAAATGAATTTACACCATTTGAATTTTTTTGATTATAAATTATATTTATATACATGAAATGTAACAGATATATTTAGAGTAGTATACTAGTATGATAACATTATTAATTACAAACAAAAAATTATGTGGTCTTGGTAGGAGTAATTAATTGTTATTAGCTTTGGAATTCACTTTTTACTTACTATTAATGGGCTTTTCTCAAAATGTGTTTTATATATTGGTAGATAAAAAGGGCTATATGACATAAGCGCCAATAAACGTCAAAATTGCCAAAGATATAAAATATAAATTTGTATTATAAATGACCATATAATGGCTGATTTTAAATTATACTTTATATATTTAAAATTGTTAAAGATCAATATTAAGAAAAATGATAATCGTAATGATAAAATAATAAGTAGGTATAGACTGTATAGTAGTAATCTAGTTTCTCGAACAATTCCGGAGAATGCTGTTAATACCCCACAACATTTGAAAAGAATTATTGGTGTCGTGGTTAACTTAAAAATGATTAAAAAAAAAAACAAAAACAAATTAATAGGGTTTTCACTGGATGGCTTCTTCCCTCTCATATGGTTGCATGGTTAAATTCTCCCTTACCCAGCTATTGTTATTGTGCCCAAGAGCACAGATTGTATGTTTCTCTTTTAAAATAATTAGTTTTTATTTTGATTTCAAACTCTATCAATATAAATGTTTGACCATCAATCTTTGRTCAGCACATAATACATATTATAATATATTTTACATTTATACCAATATATACGTATGTAAGTGCTTTCATGGGGGATTTTATAGTTTTCTGTAAGTATTAGGTACTTTATTATAATTTATAATTTAATAATAATGTGTGTTAACAACCTAAGGTTTTTTCCTAATTAGATACCTTACAAAAATAAAATAAATAAATTTGTTAACCGGCTGATGGTTACAGTCAACTTGCGTCTTGCTCTATTTAACATTGACTCTAGATAAGTTTTATAACATAATTTGTTTGGAAATGTCTCTTGCAGGTTTTATTATAAGGACTGCACATATAAAATACATGTTACAGAAGGCTTCATCTTACATTCACCACACTGAAAACTATGGAAAAAACTTTTTACAATGTGCACCCTTCTGCCTTCGAAATAAAAGTTTACCTACACCTAATAATGTCAATATCTATTTTTAATACGTTCAATGACAATGACGACACGCGTAGTCGTCACTCGTCAGACGGTGCCAGGCGCAACTATAACCGATGATTTTTTTGTGATAAAATAATGTATGCATAAATGCAATGTTATATTTATTTTAAATAATTTCGGCCTACTGAATTTAATATTTTAAAATGTACAATTTGTGTCCTACTGCCTCATATAATAAGTCTGGTTTCGTGATTTAGTAATAAATCATTATTTATTATTGAATTCAACTTCATTTTTTTATTCAATAGGTACTATAAACATATATTTTATATTTTCTCTTACACCTATTATTTATTAATATTATTATGAAATACCTACTTAAACTAATTGTGTGGTAATTGTTTTTATTAATTATTAATTATTCATTCATAAATAATAGGAGTTAGCAGCTGTCAGGACGTCGTCTATCGTTGTATGATTTTTAAGAGGACGCCACACCCGCATGTGTTGTCTCCGTCTTACAAACGTATAACATAGCAAAATCTGTTTAGCGCGGGACAACTTTACTCCCTTTGTATTTATAGTAGAATTACCAAAATTCCACAACGCATAGGTAAGAACTTTATCTGTGTCATAGCGTCGTTATTATTTTGATAACATAAATATAATTAAAGTTATAAGCTTAAGAAAATACATTTATTTTTTATTTTTTTCATTAAATTACTTAAAATTATTGGTTTGTGCTATCAAAAAAATAACGACGCTATGACACAGATAAAGTTCTTACCTATGCGTTGTGAAATTTTGAAAATTCTATTATAAATATTGAGGGAGAAAAGTTGGCATAAATTCACTTTAGCTATCCAGCACATTTTTTGAATTTTTTTTCGAAATATACGCATTTCTGGGAGTTAAGAACGATGGTGCAAAAAAAAATACTGCGCGGACGCCATTATTTTGGAAGTTATAGCCATCCAAAGTTTGCGATTTTACGTTAATACGCATGCGCACAACACTGCTTTATAATGAGCCGTGGAGCGTAGCGGCGTATGCCGATACACGCGTAATCACTGCAACTTTTAAAGTTTTAATTGACATAACTTTTGAGCGAATGACCACGCTAACGGTCATCGAGTATGGCGACCGGAGTCGGTAGGCGACGGGAGGTCCCTTGAGTTTGGCGACCGRAGCCACCATGCTTATGTTATCGAGGTACTTTAACTAACAAGGTTAAAATTACTTGTTAGGTCATCCGTCTGCCCGCAGGGCAGGTATGCTCTCTCCCCCCCCGCGACCCGAAAGGACCCAAAGGGGTCGCCAACCCACCACTTCCCCCCCCAGGTATTTAAGCCCCGGGGGGGTTGGGGGCCGAGCCCCCATTCAACGAGAGGTCCGTAGGACCTTGAGGTTGGCGACCGTAGCCGGTAGGCGAAGGGAGCTACTATGTACTTATGTTACTCTAACTGGGCATCGAGTCCGTTGACTGGAGACGGTAGGCGGATTTCACCATTATTCTTAAGTCGTTAAAATACGTAAAAAAAAAAATTCAAAACTAATTATAGCCTACTGTAGGCGTTGCGCTCAGAATTAAAGCAGTGTTGCGCGCGTGCGTATTAACGTAAAATCGCAAACTTTGGATGGCTAAAACTTCCAAAATAATGGCGTCCGCGCAGTTTTTTTTCCACCATCGTTCTTAACTTGGAGAAATGCATATATTTCGAAAAAATAATTCAAAAAATGTGCTGGGTAGCTAAAGTGAATTTGTTCCGAAAAGTTGTCCCGCGCTAAACAGATTTTGCYATGTTATACGTTTGTAAGACGGAGACAACACATGCGGGTGTGGCGTCCTCTTAAGAATTGTATTGAATCCCAGCTAACCCTAACCCTATGCCCTAGCCTAGCCTTTAGCTTATAGTGCTTATACCATTATACCTAAATACCACAGAACAATATGTCATTACGATTGCAGTATCTATTCACTATTGTCATAATATTATATAATCTATAATATTATTTATTCCGTGACACAGAACATATAAAGTACAATCTTATAAACTTTATACTTTATATCACGGTTAAAGATAGAACAATATTATGCTTTAATCGTGCTTTATATATCATGATATTGATAATAGCATTGATAGTGATAACAGTTTGTCTGGCAATAATTGCGATTCCGGCCTGTGGCCTGTGGGTTCCGGACGTTCTGGTCGTCAGTCTGAGGCATAGACACGCTTCATGATATCCCCGCGAAAATTAACTACTATATTATTATAACCAATATTTTAATAATTATTATGATGATTATATTCCATTGAAGATTAATTAAAAGTAAACGTGCCGGTGTGTGCTTGGCGCCTACCTACTACCTGTAGTACAACGCGCACTGTGCAGACTTACTATATAGTWAGCTTTTACGATTAAGCACTTCTCGGTTTTCAGTTTCTCACGTGCGTCTGTTACTACTTGCAACCAACAAATATAATAATCTAATAATAGGGATTGTAAAAATTATTTTTTTTAGGTCGCCAACGTAATTGGTCGTGGTCTCGTGGAGGTGTACAACTACACACGAGCTAATATTTGGGCGCAATGATATCGTTGCTGAAGAAGCGRCTTAGGGATCGAACGCTGTCGGCTGTAGATCTCTACGCCAAGACGTTGAACGATATTGAAAATAAATCTGATCTCAATGCGTTTGTGCATATCATACGAGATGGAGACCAGCGAGCAGCAGAAAGCCATAAACGGTTTCAGGATGGTATGCATTTACTCATATTAAATAACTAATATTGAACACCATACCGTCTTAACGTTGGTAACCATAGTTGTTATTCCGTTACATTTTAGTTGCTGGTATATTTTAGAAATCATAAGCTTTTAAATTAACGAGAAAGTACCTATCTGTCAGGATTGTCATTTAAATATTTGCTAGGGTAGGTAGGGAATATTAATGACTGACCCAAAAATTATACAAATTTAAAATATATTAAATAAAATGCAGTTTATTACCAAACTGTTATTTTTATTCTCAAGTCTCAATTTACAAAATAGGTTTATTTTGTATTTGTGTATTCATATATTTCCTGAAATGTTCAAATTTACATTCATTTTAAACTAAGAACAAAAACTAGCCATTAATGAATTAACAAGCTAACTGATGGGCGGTAATAGTGGCTATATAGTGGGTCCCAAAATAACAGTCTTAACTATTAAATATTTAATAGCCTCTAGGTTATTTCTATATATGCTACTGGAMAGTAGTCATATTCCTCTATTAATATTGGAAAAGTATCAATTACTGACCGCTAATGAAAAATGCTACAATGACGTGATAGTGCATCTAAATAATACTAGGYATGAATAGCCTGAAGAATATGACATTTTATTCTTGCACTATTGAGATTACATCCTTTGGTGGTAACAACTAACARCTGTTTATGCTCAGGTACACAGAGGCCACTGGAAGGGATTCCGATTGCAGTCAAAGACAATTTCTGTACTAAAGGTGTGTTCACAACATGCGCATCAAAAATGTTACAAAACTTTGTACCGGTTTATGATGCTACAGTGGTAGAACGTTTAAAAGCTGCTGGGGCAATAATTATCGGCAAAACTAACTTGGACGAATTTGCCATGGGGTAGGTTTAATTTTTACAAATTCAATATTTTATAAAAATYGGATTTTTTCTATCAAGTTCTGGCACCGTAGATTCAATTTTTGGTCCCACTAAAAATGTATGGCGTTCGAAACTCGACCAACGGCACATTGCAGGTGGTAGTTCTGGTGGCAGTTGTGTAGCAGTGGCTTCGGGAATRTGTGTAGCGTGAGTATTAAAAAGATGAGTGTAGTATTATGTATGTTAAGTCCATAATATTATGTTTTTGTAAAAATTAGTGCATTAGGATCAGATACTGGTGGATCTATAAGAAATCCTGCTTCATATTGTGGTGTAGTTGGTTATAAGCCTAGTTATGGCTTATTATCACGTCATGGTTTGATACCTTTAGTAAATTCAATGGATGTACCTGGTATTGTGGCTAAGACTGTTGAAGATGTGGTCACTGTGCTGAGTGTGCTAATTGGACCAGATGCAAATGATTCAACATGCGTAGACACGAATTTGGATGTAAATTCATTTAAAACAAATTTTTTAATAGAAAAGTGTCGTATTGGCATACCCGAAGAATATCATTGTGAGGGTTTATCTGATGAAGTTAAAGAAACATGGGATTATGTTGCGAACCTCATTAATAATTCTAAAGCCACAGTAAACAAGGTATGACTTAAATATTAAAATATATTTATAAAATATTTTTAGATAAAGCTTTTAAATATCCTAATTATTTTCTATAGGTATCAATGCCTCATACTAGTGTTTCAATAGCCACTTATTCAGTATTGAATGCTTGCGAAGTAGCAAGTAACATGTCACGGTACACAGGGCTTTTCTATGGTTATCGATCAACAAATGATCACAAATCATTTGATTCATTAATCTCTACCAGTCGAATGGAAGCTTTAGGAGAAGTTGTAAGGTCTCGAATTTTAAGTGGAAATTTTTTTCTTTTACGAAGGTAAATTTGTTAGAAATTATTTGGACAGTATACAATGTTATGTTACTTGTGTTCTAACACAAATGTTTATGAGAAACTAATAATTTTGCAGGTAATTTATATTTTTTTTCATGCTTTTCTTATCTTCCAAACATTTTTATTCATAGCACAAAGTTATTTAAAAAATAATGAATACTTTATATTTCATTACTAATTAAATTGTTTATAATTTTCTATTCGATTATTTAATGATATTATACGTCATGATTGTTTATATCTGTAACTTGTATCCGGACTGAYAGTATCTAGATGCAACTTACCAGTGTCTTTAATTGATAAATGATGAAAAACATTTGCAATTTACTAGTTCTTATTAATTAAGGACACAAGCAATATTATACTATTATTAAATGTGTTTATGGGCTGTAATGTAGTTTATTAATTGTTTTTAGTAATTATGAAAAGTATTTCATGCAATCATTAAAAGTAAGACGATTGATATCAGATGATTTCAAAAACTTATGGAAATCTAACTACGACTTTTTAGTTACACCTACTACATTAACTACCGCTCCAYTAATATCTGAATTTAAGTCTTTAGATAACCGTACACAATGTGCTACACAAGACTATTGTACTCAACCAGCAAATATGACCGGTGAGTGTAGAATTATTGAATATTGTTCTATATTATAGTATTTTGATTTATTGATTAAACTATAATATCCAATTTGACATTCTAGGTTGTCCAGCTATTACTATACCAATAAAGTTATCAAGAACTAAGATGCCAATTAGTATACAAATAATGGCATCAAATTTTGATGACATAAGATTGTTGCAGTTTGCTAATTGGTTAGAAAAAACAATACAATTTTCTGAAGTTCATGAAAGTTGAATGTGTATTAATTTTAAGTTATAAATATATTGTATTATATAAACAATGGAAATAATGGTATGTATTATGTTAACATCTTATATAGGAAAGATTTTGATGAAATGTGCACTATTTTAATAATGACCATTTCAACTGCTCTTTAGCTGACTGGAAAACCTAAACAAAAATAACATATGTAAATGTATTAGAATAATGCAATTATGTATCACTGGAATACTAATTATATGATAGATAGCTTACTTGTGCTACTGTTTGTTCTCCAATAGGTATATCATCGGTTCGTAATGCTACTCTCTGTACAACTGCCCCAGAATCAGCTTCCAATATAATACTATAAAAAATATATTTCTTAAGGCTCAAATATATTTATGTTACCTCAAAGGTAGTGACAAAATTAAACCAAATATAATATCACTACTACTGTGGCACTGTCAGACAAAAGAACTTTATTGCTACCGTAGCAGTGTGTGTGTGGACATTTATTAATCTAGGACTGTAGAATAGATTAAAATAGCGGTTTCCAACCCATGGGCCTTTAGGAATGTGGTACTGGGCCGCAGACATATGTCAAGTATCTATGCCAAATGAAAGTTTTTATTTCAATCAACATCGACATTTTTATGTGATTTTATACACGTATATAAGGTAAGTGGGCCTCAATGTTTTTTTCACGTTATTGGTGGTCCGCACAATTAAAAAGATTGGGAATCGCTGGACTAAAACATAAATTCTCAATTCTACCTACTCATATTACAGTTATAAGATATGATGTATTTTACCCATTATCGCAAATTTCATCCAATGCCAACATAACAACATCCAAGTTGTCAAGTACAACTCGTTTTTCCACATTTTTTCTTAATATTTGACTGATTGAATCATACATACATTGTAAGACGCTCATCAATAACAACTGAAATATAAAAATGCTATGTACAAAGTATGCAATTTACGTGATAAAATCCTAACAGTGTACTTACTTCATTCTCATGTGAACTTCCCATGACGTAAAAAAACAGATCCACATTGCTTCTGTAAAGACATGTAATCCCATCCAGCATGATAATTTCTGCATTTGCTCTGTGAGTGCGGTTGAATAGGTTTTTTTCAAATGCTTTTTGTTCTTTAATCGTTGGAAATATATTGTCATCATAGTATTTGGCCAGTATGCGATTGCCATCATTGTCTAAAATAGCCAGGCCTTTCACTGTATACAAAGTTGGTTCCTGGAGAATGATAAGTTCATGAATATCGAGTTAATATAATGTTTTTCACTTTCAGTGGTTAACTTACCAGTAACGAAAAATCCATTATTAGTGTATTAAATATTTAAAATTCTTAACCAAAAATATATTGACACGTATCGTATGATTTAATTAATTGAATTTGACAAATCGTCAATATTTAAACATTTAATTCAATTTGACAATTTATATTATAAAAATTTTAAGTTGTTCGTTATCAAGTTATCTACATTTGTGGACGTCGCCGATTGCTACAATCACGGTGCACTCTATCAATATTTGATACGTGTTATCATGGAATGAAAAACTACCACTCTATTTATCCTTCAAGAAACGACTGTGAAGTGTGAACAATATTATTATTTTTTTATTATAAATTGAATGCTATAATATAGTAGTTATCGTAAAGGGTGTAAAGATATTAAAGGATTTAAAATAACCGTGTGGTATATATTATAAGATTTTGTGTTTTCTGATATAGTGATATCTCTTCCACGGCTGTTGTAAATACTAGACCACTCATAGGTACTACAGTTTTATTCTGCGTACGAACATAAGAAAATAATTTTTTAATGTTCATGATTCTGTGTTACAACCGTCATATCAATTATCTAGTCCTATCACACTAAGGTATGGAAACAGTAAACACATTTCTTTAAAAGTAAACATGTTTTCTGGCAGGTGACGGGTTATAAGTCAATGATAATAGGTAGCAGGCACACCATATATTTTGTGAAAATAGTTCGGAAATGATCAACGGAATCCACGGCGGTGTAGGTACATGGTCTATCTATTACTTATTAGTGTAATTATTTGGAGCCTGGACTGCTGAGCTGGATGCATATATTCTCAACGTTAGACGTGTCCGATAGTATTAAATATGGTTTCGAAACTTGTCTTGCTTGACGACGAACATCTCGAAAACTTAGAAAAGGTCACTCCGGCGATTGAAATTGAAATTTATATATATATTTTTATGCGTAGGTATATTGCAGAAATTCCAATTTCTGCTGTAAGTTGAAACGTTAGTAATACGTTACAAATAAAACTATAGAAGCCAAGTTTGAAAAATTTGTGGGCTGATAAAGCTCACGGATTTGTTCAAAACGATCCGAAAAAAGCAGCGAATGATGATGGTATCACACTGCATGCAGCGTTAGGAAAACAGCTAATTTTCTGATTATCGAGGTCAAGACAAAGCCTACTAAAAAACTGAAATCATACCAAAGTACTAGCTAATAATTAGAAATTAACTTTATCTAGAAGAATATAAGGCTTAGCTTATGGGCAGTAGGAGAACCACTTATTTGATAATTTCGTTTAAATATGAACTTAAAATGTCTGTAAAAAAAAAACAGTTTATATATTTTTAGATTTTTTAGTTACATTATACACTATTTTTAAAGAATCGTTTTAAATTTTCAATTCTTAGCTATTCAAATGAAATTCATATAGATTTTAAGCTACAAATAGTTTGAAAATTGTCAAAGTTTTGATAAATATTGTCGAAATTTGAACTTTAAATACTCACAATATAAAATTTTTCCTATGAAACTTTAATATTATTTAATTGCTATTAGGTATAACTATTTATTACGAAACTTGTATCTAATTTTCAAGCCGTTATAATCAACGAATAAAATTGTATTGACATATTTATAGAATAAAAAACTAAATGAATTTTAAATTTCAAATGTTTATATAAATAACTTTATAAGAGTCGAAATAACTTAATATAAGTTTATTTTGAAAAGCTTATCATGTATAGAAAATGATAAAATGAACATTTGATGAACATTTTAAGTAACTGCGGTTAGTACTTTTTTATATAAATAAGAAAATCGTTGTATGAGAATTTGTTAATTTACGGTTGAATATTCAATATTTAACTTCAAACTTTTTTTGTTTTGTGGAATGTAGAAAAACTTAAGAGAATTTACAAAKCTTACATATAAATATAAATATTTTTATGAATCTCTATCTCGAAATAGTTTACCAATTTTCGTGATTATGATGGATTTTTTCAAAATTTTAACTTCAGATGCTTATAAAAAGTTATTTTGGACATTCGCATTTTCACTAATAAAAACTTATGAGGAACATTGTATTATATTTTCTAGTTTTTGATCGAGTGAAAATTTTTGTATCATAAAACATTTAAAAAAAATCTATTAAACTTGTTTTTTTCTTATGTCTTACTCCACGACCCATCTAATGTACCAAATAGTGTGTTACTAATGTTTGTTTGTTTCGGTAGTTTTAGTTTTAAAATCGAACAAATTTAAATAAGTAGGGCTTATCTGTAGTAGGAACCTTTACGCCATCTGAAAATATATAATATAATAAAACATACTACCCAGTATAAGTATAGGCACCTACATTAGGTACCAATTTACAATTGATTAGATTGTCTACTATTTTGTGTTGGTATGTCGAGGAATAATTAATGGCCACCAGGCCACCTGAATTATAATATACCTAATCGATTTTGCGTTTATAAATATTGATATGCGTTATGCATTTAATTACATTTTAGTTCCTATATTTGATGTTTCACGCTGTAAGTTGTTTAGGTACAGTTAGATACTGCACAGGTGCACAGTGTTTAAATATAGAAATAATGTTTTCACATTTCACAAAGTACATAGACTTTTTGTGACTTTAAGTAACTAGCAAGTGGTAATTTATTATTATGCTATGATAAATAATAAACCGTGACAAAAACGAAAGTTTAATATAATAATATCATTATATTATCACATCCTATAATAACTTGATTTTGAAAAAACTGTATTTAAAGCAATTTCATTAGATTCGATTCGCTTTTTAGATGAATTACTATATCGTTACCGTACTGCATGTAGCAGTATAAATGTATAATATATCAATGTAAAGCTGACTTAATCAAATGATATAACATTATCTTTATTTTGAAATCAACATGCATAGTGTAGATTAAGTGTAATGTTATTTATACGGATCTTGTGTACCTAACAACCTAACTAACTAACGCAAAATTAAATYGTTTATTTCAAAGAAGTTAAAAATGTTATTAATGACCTAATATTCTATAGATAAGTCAATGTTAATCGTTAATGTGTCTCTTAAAACTGTATAGGTACATAAATCTCAATAAATATACCGCGAAGTTGAAGTGGCATGCCGGTAGACGCTTGCATATATAGGTATTCGTAAAAGTCAAAAAGATAAGAAATCAAAGACCGCAAGTTTACGCGGGCAAACTTTTCTCCTTGGCCTCAGGTCACATAATTCTTCCCGAACACATTCACCTAACCCCGGGTATGCACCAGTTAAGTCCATTGGACAAAACGGCGATGCGGAGATGAGCTGATAAAAAATTGTCGAAACTTTGGTCGAATTTTTTCTATTCTATACTCTCCTGGGATAAACTATATACGCTCGCCATTTCTACCGACATATCGCGTTATTCAAACCATGAAAATAAATTGGATACTCAAAGAGCTCTAGACAACAAGTCTGCTTTTGAAATTTATTGGTCACGACGACTATAGGTAATGATATAAATCTGGGAGTCGGATTAATGTGTGCGCATTTCTTTAGAACATCACTGGTCGAAAATGAAAATATGTGTTGTCCCTCTTTATCCTTGATAGGTATACTTTTAAAAGTAGTTTCTTACTTTGGTTATCACTTCAGGTTCATTTTCCAGCAAGCTTCGGATCTAAGTTCGATTATCAGCGGTTCCCCTTTACTCACGCCAAGATAATACATACGTAGCCAATATTATAACTAGGGATTGTTTTGTTTTTCGTGTTTGAACCAGATAGTTCCATGCGCTGTACTAAATAAAATAATATTACTACTTAAG